GGAAAGAGTGCCAAAACACACTGAGGAATGTCTAATTATGTCTACCATATGAATTGTAATGAGAGTGACACATTGTGGGCCAAATAAGTCCTCGATGCTTTCCACATAAGAAGAATAAAAAAAGGTGGTGCAACAATAAGAAAATAAAGTTGGGGAGGATGCTGGGGATGTTGCAGGCATCATTGCTCAGAACCCTAGAAAGAGAACCGTATAGGGCAATCTGGAGAGAGGGGGAGAAAGCAACCACAACCTTGGACATATATACTGTTGCGTAAGCCAAGCGATCGAATAATAAAATTGATAGAATAAGAAAATAAATCGGACACCAGATTTACGTGGTTCGGTCGTAGTGACCTACGTTCACGGGGAGAGCAGCACGGAATTCCACTATAGATCAAGCGATACAACGGAGATTACAATCACACTCGAGTCACTCAAACACTCTAAGTGTTTCCCAAGCCCCAATTACACCCGATAACTCACGCAGTGTTTAGCCCCACAATTCCTCACGAAATAATCTCTCAATCTCGCAAAAGAATTATACACAAATCTTAACACAAGATTTACGCTTGAACACTAATTCTTCTTGGATGTAATTCACGAACGAGAATCCACGGAAACACCCACCGCCAAGCACTCACGAACGTCTTCACGTCAACCGCGGCGCTTCAAGACTTCTTTATCAACAATGGCGCATCAAGACTTCTTCTTCTTGCGGCCAAGTTCAAGAATATATATGTATATATTTGTATCCCCACGTACAGTGGCCGACTCCAACTTGGAAAGAGATTCCATGCGGTCAACAAGTCCAAGTTTGGACTTTCCTATTTCTTCTTTCTTGGGCAGACCGTGACTCCCACTAAAATTAGGAAAGAATAAATATTCATTCTATTTTCCTTTTCTTTTGTTTGCTACCAACTCTTGCATATTAGGAAAGCAAATTTCCAATATTTCCTTTTGCTCGATTTCGGACGTCCGCAAAATACCAATTTCGAAGATTCAGATTTTCGCTTTGGGCTTAAACTCGAGACATATTTTCAACATATACCATGACACTTTGTTAGGTCATAAGATTCAACCATATGTAAATTGTTCAGATTGGCCTAAGAAAAGGGAAATTTCAGCTCGCAAAGTATCTAATGATCCCGTCAAAAGGAAATTGGACGTAGGCTTTTTTATTTCATGAAAAATAAACTTTGTTTAAAACTATTTTCAAAGGAAATTGTTCTACGAAAAAGTTGTTTGATTCTTCCTAATTTGGTTGTCCTTTGCAAATAAGAGATATAAGTTATTTTCTGATACTTATTACTAATAACTAGGAAACACAGTTCGGAGAAAAAGAGACTCAAGTACAGTCTCAGAGACCCAGGTTCGAGTTTCGGGGTCTTAGATCTAAGGACTCAGGTCTGGGTGCTAGAGTTTTGGGACCATCAGCCGGGCAATTGAGACGGAGTTGCATAGGCGGAGACATAATTGTATTCTGGATAATGATTTCTAATTTTTAATAAATGAAATCATTTTGTTGAATTTAAATATAGATTTTTCATTAACTATAAAAAGACTTTCCATTATTCATATTCATAAGCAATTTCAACATCGAAAATTTAGGAAAATATTTCTCGACAGTTTATTTTTCGCGTAACAAAAGGAGCTTTAATTTATTGTGCGAGAATGTAAAACAAGGATATGAAGTTGTCAATTCTGATGCTCTTTTCTTCCTTAAGCTTCCTACCTTATAAACAAGCCAATTAAAATGAACTTATTTCTTTCATTTGTGACTTTACTAGTACGAAAAGGCAAATAAATGGAAACTTATAATAAAATTAGACACGATATCTACGTATCAACATTTGCAAATTAAACGAAAATTAAACAGTGAAAGCAATGAGATCCGCAAAACGGAAGAAACCTAAAATAATAATCATTCCAAATAAACCTAATCTAGTGCTTTACTAGATGGGTAGGCCGCAAATAAACGTAGATGATACACATATTTATAATTCGTCCATCAAAAAAATAATTCGAAGAATTAATTTTTTTTATGAAGGAAAATGCAGCAAAGAAAAAAAGGAAATTGGAAGAGTTGAGCTAAAAGGCGAGTCCATTTTCATTCCCACGTCTCTCTTTATCTGTGCAGAAGGAAGGACGAGGGACAGATTAGAACAGAATCGTTCTCGACGGCTAATACAATCTCTCGACAAACGTTTGTGGAACTGCAAGTACTTTGTCATAGGTTTGATGGGAATCTATACACTACTGTGATCCAATTGCATTCCACAGTCATCGGTGATGTCACCTGTGATAATTGTATCTCTTCTTCTTTCATCACTTGATTCCTAAATATATATTTCGAAGTTGTCATTCCCCTGTGGAAAGGCCAAAAAAAAAGAAAAGAAATTGGTTGAAAAGATACTCTTGTGCATTTCGAGCATTCAATTTTGTAGGTGATGTGAATTCAGACTAATTTTGCTTTTGAATTTGGAGAACCCTCGTGTATGATTGGTTTGTTTATTCATGTATTATTGTTATGCGATTCATTCGATAGATAAAATAATTATGTACACTTTGCCTAGAAAAATGGGGTTAATGTATCATTATCACTTTTATGATGTCATTCATCATCGTAGATGTATTATCTATATGCATATATTTCTAGGGCAAAATATACATAATGGTACTTGTAAAGGTGGATCGAACATTAAATAATTGATTCGGATAAGAGCATATACTATATGTGGTTGGCTTATAACGTGATGACTTAAAATTGTGTATTCTCCTTAATATATTGTACCATATAACATGTCATAAATCGATCATAAATCCTTTTAGTTTTGATGATACATTACCTTGAGCTCCACCAGATCTAAGGTTATCATAGTTTATCTCTCTCGCCACTCTCTTCGAAACCATAACCCCATGCACTCATCACCGAAAGCGTAATTTTTGATACCCTAAATGTACGCCACTTTCCACCCTCTAGCCACCACCGGTAGTATTTGTGTCACCTTGGCGTTGCTGTCGTCGGCCACCATAGCCGCAGTCCATATTTCTAAAATTAAGTCAATAATAATTGATGTTAAAGATAGAGGGTGGATTGTGGAGGGCGATTATAAGAAATTTGAATTGATTAGTTTGAAATTGGTGAATTTCATTTACCTCCTAACATCAATCATTCAACAAACATGGGAAAAGTACAACTGGATTCGGCAATTAGCAAAGCACATTATTGTCTCAAACTAGATCTTTAGAGGCAAATTTACATGCCTCAAAATGTGTTGTTTTTAGAGGCAAATACTTCTACTTCCATTTTAGTTATATATAGACACCTGTGCTATAGAAAAATGATGTAGAGGCACACAAATAATAGCTAAAGGTCATAATTAGAGGTAATAGTATTTGACACTGATTACTAAGATTAGAGACATATGTCCATTTGCCTCAAATTTTTCTCAAAAAGACATTTTGAAATGGCAAATCTGCTGAGACAATTATTCTATTTGACTCTACAAGTTTTAGGGGCAAAAATCTGACTTTCAAAGGCAAATATTCTTTGCTGTAGAAGTCATTATAGTGGTAATGAAGTTTTGGCTAGATCAAATCTTACTTCTGTTGCTTACAATTGAGGCCAAATCCTCCCCAAAAGAAGAACACCACCAACTTTCACCCGAGACACAAAAAGTACCCTAACTTTTCAAGCGGTCCAAAAAAAAAAAAAACTCACACATTTATATTCGTTGCACAAAAATATCCATCGCTCTGTTCATTCAATTGATGTGGTAAATGACGTGGTTAACGAGACTAACGCGTACAAATATACACATTAGCTCGAGCTAAAAAGGATGCCGTGGACACATCAGCAAAAGGCAAAAGATGGTGTTTATCTAAAGCGTCGTCATTTCCGATTCTTCTTAATTAAGATTTACTTGCTTCAAGCACGCTGGCAGCTCTTTTTACTATTAATTTGTTTCTCTAAAACATCGTTTCTATCCACGTCACATGTTATATCATCTTGTTGGGACAAAAGATTAACTGTGGGTATTCTTCGTCCCTCGGATAAAAGTTTCGCGAAATTTTTCCGGTCATTCTAAAAGTCACGGTATTTTTATTCTAAAGGCGAAGTTTGTTTGGGCGACATGCCAACAAATAACTTCTTAAACTTAATTATGGACGGCAATCACTACGCAACTCTCCACGATCCAAATGGATGCGTGGCTTGGGGGGGTTGGACATGAATGAGCATGCACCTACTCCATAATTAACTGTTGCACGTGCAGAAACTTGCAGGCCTTGATCATAACAAGCAATTTGCTAGCTCATGGAATCATAAAAAAGGATTGGTAAAATGGTAAAATAACCAAGCAAAGTATTTACTAAACTTTCCGCAAGGACAATAGAGTCAATAAACAGATGAATAATATTTTCCTCTTAGCCAAAAAAAAAAAGATGAATAATATTTTCTTAGGTCAAGTTTTACAAGTGCCTTGGACCTCGGCGGTACTAATCAAGCATATCTAACGAAGGAAGGTTCGACTTTTCAAAAAATTCATATCGTGAGAAAAGGTCAGTACCACCGAAAACTATCCTTGGAGCCAGGAAGGGGTTTGAAGGGGTTGTTGCGCCGCACCCCTCAAGCCCTTACAACTTATTGCAATAGGTTCAAAAGACTCATTAACTAAAACTATGTTAATAAGGGTGACGAATTCGCCAATTCCTTAAATTTCACATTAGGGTATATGACCGATTCTTCCCTTTCCACTTTTCGATAATTTTAAATTACTTTACTCTTTCCATTTCGTGCACACATCATCGACCGAAAATCATTCAATTCGCATTTTGATCAATGAGATGAGCTTCTCCTCTCTTGTTCCATTCCAATGTACATTTATTATGCTAACACTTCTTCCGGCATGTAATTTTAAAAGATGGCTTATTTAGAAAAGCGAAAAACTCAATCTTCTTCTTAAGAAAAAAGAAGGATAGAAGAGAACATCTAGGGAAGTGAGAAAGAGAACCCACCAAAAGCAAAGAGAACTTCGAAGACACCCCCCCACCACTTAAGAATCATTCATTTTGCATCTCAAAATCCTTCCCAATCTTGTCCTCCGATCCACCAAAGCAAAGAATATGAACGCAACACTTTTCCACCTCTGCCCCTGTAAACCCTCCACGCTATATCTGAAGCTTCATAAAGTTCTTCCAGACCCCCCTGTATTGAGAACCGGAAACACCCCACCTCTCTCTCTCTCTCTCTCTAGAAAAATTTTCGATTTTTTTTGGTAATTTGCACATCTTGGCATGATTTCATCAATACCCAGAATTATATATTTCGCCACGCCCACATGGGCAAAGCTTTAAGAAAATCCCTACTCAGATTTCCTTTTTTCTATCCCTGTTTTTGGGTTCCTCTGGCTTTTGGAATTTTAATAAGTAATCAGCTCTCGTGCCTGGAGGTTCGTGGTGTCAGACATTAAAAACCGAGGGAATTGGAATAGAAGCTGAGCGACCCTGAGGACACAGAAGAATCCCCTCTTTCGTTTCTGCAGCATATTTTTTTATATATCACTCGCTCAGATCCTCCAAGGCCTTGGAAATGGTGATGCAGAGGAAGGAGAGAGAGAGAGTGTGTGCGTGAATTGAATCGAAGCTCCTTAGAAGGGTCGCGATGAACGGGTGAATTTGGTGGGGAGGCGTGCATTCTCTCAGCAGAAATCAGTGCGGGCGCAAGAAGACAAGACCGATGTTACTGCATACGGACGAACGCGGCCGGGTGTAGCCGAAGAGAGAAACGACAGGGCCTCGCGGGAAGTTTCTCAAAGGCCATGGATTGTAGTACCAGCAGCTGTTCATGTAGCTGTTGTCGTTGGCGTTCCTTCTTCAAGATCTCCTTCTCGTCGTCGCCAATCATTCCCATTTTTGTGCTCTTCCTCCTTGTCCCTACTTCTCCCTTCTTTTGTCACGCTCGTTTGTCGGAAACGGCCGTCTTCCGCGCCACGAACCGGACTTTTCGGCCCGGGGAGGAGCTGTGGAAGCTGAAGATGATAAGGTCTCGTCTCAGGGACATCAACAAGCCTCCCCTCAAAACAATTCAGGCAAGCCCACCTTTCTCTTTTTTTCTTTTTCTTTTGAGAAAAGAGAATGCCGCTCCTTTATTCCCCTGATGTTGCTCTGTTTTTAGAGACCTTGGACATCAACTGTCCACATCATCATGAGAAAGAAAATGACTTGGACCGGCGTTGCTGAATCAATCACTCACACACTTCACTAATCATATAACTAATTTCAGCTTCTGCTAGAATAATTTCTTGCTAACTGACCCTGATTTGTCCCTCATTCTTGCTTCTCTGTTTCTGTTTTCTCTCATTTGCAGAGTCCTGATGGAGATATCATAGACTGTGTTCTGTCGCACCAACAACCAGCCTTTGATCATCCTCTACTAAAGGGACAAAAGCCATTGGTATCAACACAGTTTCTCTGACCAGTAACTAGAAAATCAATTACATGACTTTTGAAAGCCCCGATTTTACCCTTTCTGTTTTTTGTAAATTTGCAGGATCCGCCGGAGAGGCCGAACGGGCATCGTTCAACCGCTGCGACCGCGGAGACGTTCCAATCATGGAGCATGTCCGGCGAGGCTTGCCCAGAAGGGACGGTGCCGATCCGGAGAACGAGCGAAGAAGACATTTCGAGGGCTTCTTCGGTTCAGAGGTTTGGGAAGAAAGTTAGAAGACATGTCAGGAGAGACACCTCAAGCACTGGGCATGAGGTAAGGAGACCTTGACATTGAAGCTTGAAGAAGATCAGCACACCTCAAGCATTTCTTTAATTTTTTTTTAAAGTAACTTAAAAGAAATCATAATCATTCATTTCTTAATTTTGTCTCAAAAGTAATAATGCTACTCGTGAATGAGACGAGGAGAAAATTCAGACATAATTGTCTCTTGGTTCCCTTCTTGCTTATGTTGGTGTTCTGTCTCTCTGCTTCTTTTTCTTTCTTTTTTCTTTTTATTTTTTTTTCGTTTTTTCTATTTGGTCAAATTGCTTTTTTTTTTTGGTCGCATATTTGGTCAAATGTAGACTCGAGAAAAAGTGATAGCATGAAGACAGGAAACTGCTTTTTAATTTCGGCTTGTACCTTTCAGACTGTGGTTTTTTAATTTTGACATTATGTTTGCTTGCGCTTTCCTCCAATTTTTGCGGGCTATTTATAATCAAGCAAACAAAACATATTCATCCATTTTGTACCAAAAATATATATTTTTTAAAAAGAAAATATTTGGTACATGATAGTTTTGAACTCTATCAAGCCGGACCGGATTTACCAACTCGACGTTTATTAAATTCAGAAATTCCTCGGCATATAGTTCCTTTCTTTTTTCATATGTTCCAATCTTCCAAATTGGCGATGAGCGTCGTCGGAAAATTACACAATTTTGTCGTGAGCCAATTATTGATATCCAATTTCAATCCGGGATCAAGAAAAAAGTTGCCCTTTTTTTATTACTCCTTAAAATTTATATTATAAATCGTGTTTTTCTTTCTACAATGTTGATTTATTTTATTTTATTTTATTTTTTTGCAGCATGCGGTAGGGTATGTGAGTGGAGATCAATACTATGGAGCCAAAGCAAGCATAAATGTGTGGGCACCAAAGGTGGCAAATCAATATGAATTCAGCCTCTCGCAGATGTGGGTCATCTCTGGCTCTTTTGGCGATGACCTTAACACCATTGAAGCTGGTTGGCAGGTACTCTTTCAGCTTTTTGTTCTTTCTTTTTTCCTCCCAATAAAAGTTTTAATTTTTTTACTATCTCCTACCAAATAATTGGCCTTGACCAGTCCTCTTGGTCTCACCCCTTTTCAGCTACAAAATAAATTTAGGGTTTTAGTACGTAAATTTCAACAAGTTAGAGAAAACAACTGGATTTTCACATGCATTTCGCAAGTTTGAGAATGGTCCTTGTGTCAAGGATGAGTGGTTTATTTCAGGTCAACCCCATCTCTTGATTAAGAAATGCTGAGATACCAATTGAAACATGTGAAATTAATTTTCTTTTCGTAAAAGGAAATTAGCTCTTAATGTTGGCTAATTTTGAGTAGGAAGATTTTGATATTTTCCCCCCACAGATTGGTTTTGTACCAATTAAAATTTCACGGGTTAATTACTCGAGTTCTTTTCTTTCTTTCTTTCTTTCTTTTTTGGGTAGGGGATAGTGCCAACATCATAGAAACCAGTATGTGTTTTATGACAAAGTGCCAAAAACTTGAAATGGAAATTAGAATATTATCTGCCTCTGCCGATGTTGGGGAAATTAAGGAAAAAAAAGCAAAGGGTTGTCATAATTGGATGGTCCAATCCAAGAAGCAAAAAATTCTTGTCTATGTTCAGCAAAATCATTGAAAATCTTATTATGTCTGGGGGTCAATTTACTCCGGCAGGCAATTATTGTGTAGTTGGCAAGTCACTGACCATAAAATAAAAACACATTAAAGACCAAATTTAGTTTCCCAACTGATCACATTAATGGTTTCGTTGAAATTTGCAGCTATGGTTTTCCGCCATGTTTTCAGCTTGTGTCAGATGGGATGCTAATTAAAGAATTAATTTATTTATTTTTCTTCAGGTTAGTCCAGAATTGTATGGGGACAGCTATCCGAGGTTCTTCACTTATTGGACCGTAAGTAACGTAAAATAAAGTGAAATTGTTCCCCCAGATGAATATTCTCTCCTAAAATCATGAAATTAATGTTGTTTTTGGTGACTTTGATTGCATGCAGACCGATGCCTACCAAGCAACAGGATGTTACAACTTGCTGTGCTCAGGATTTGTGCAGACCAACAGTAGGATTGCAATTGGGGCAGCAATTTCTCCCACGTCCTCCTACAATAGTGGTCAATTTGACATAAGCTTGCTGGTTTGGAAGGTAATAATTAATTTATAGCTCTACTTTTTCTAGTTAATTCGAAAAAAAAAGATTTTATTGATTCAAAGTCCATGCCTATGCATACATGTTCACATGTTTTTTCTATGAATCACCCATCATCCCAAACCTACTCAAAATTGAATGAAAAAGATATTAAATTTATTGTAGCCAAAAAGTAGGATAAAACTAATCCAGTTCAAAACGGAGAAAAAACTACTTTCCGCTTCACAATAGATGAAAACTACTTTTTATTTACCAAATTAGAATCTTCACAATGCTCATATTGATATAAGATGATCCCGAAACCGGCATCTTTGATGTCATCTGATCCTCAAAATTAAGTAGCCGGTATGCATTGCTTGTGTAAAATCGCACGGCTCTTATTAAGTAGTTGAGTTCTCGGGGGAAAGTCGAGTTGCAACAATTTGTTGCTCCTATAAATTAGGCTACTAAACTCCCAATTTAACTTTAGAGTAAGCTTGAGGGCTATGTTTAACACCAGACAGAGAGCTTGAACTGTAAAACCTACTGACAGTTTTTACCGTTATTTGGCAATTGCTTGCATCACCACCCCGGGGCTGTAAAACAAAAAAGACAACCTAAGGGTCTTCCTTGAACGTGGCGTCGGACCCATGATCTGACGGCCAGGATTCAAAGGGGGCCCACCTTCCCGACTGACAACGGACAGAAGTTGTCGTCTCGGAAGCCTAAGGGAAACTTGGACCATCTGATGTCAACCCACTTGCCTTGACCAGACACAAAAAGAAATGTTGTTGTTTTAGAGGCTCGACAAGGTGTTGAATTTTACTTGAAAAAAAAAAAGGGTAAAAATTACCCTCTAAAATTAAAAAAAATTAGATAGGTAAATTCGATAGCAACAGCTTTGAAAAGAGCAAGCGCCACTCCATGGAAGTGTTCGGTGCATACTCACGCGTGCACCCGAAACTTGGAATAATGACTGTGATTGCCTTGTTTCTTTGTGCTCCAAGATTCTCCACTTTTTCTTTCTCTATTTTTAATTACTTTTTGCTTGCTTTGGTACCCATTTTTTGAAAATTAAATTTTCAGTACTTCCAAGTCAAGTTTGAATAATTTCGTGAGTCTATCGGGAGATTGATTTGGGGAAAGTGCAACTTTATTCTCTTAACTTGTGACGGAGTATCATCACATGAAACTCTCACAATATATTCAATGGGTTCAAGTTTGAAAGTGTAAGTGTTTTGAATAATGTCTTGAAAATTGGAAGTGTTGTCATTCACCAAATGAGGACAATGATAGGAAAAAAATCAATTTATTTTTAGTGCGATTGGAATGATTTTTGCTTTTATTACGTTCTTCTGCATTTTTAAACTTGATTTTGTTTAATAACTACATCTGTAATCTTTAAAAATAGAAATTCCAGATATATAAAGTCATTTGAAGTAATGTGTAAATTTTTCTTTGGTTTTGTTCTGATAAAAAAAAGAATAATCTCTTTGTTTTGACAGTAAAGTAAATAAAAAACATTCTGACTTGTTTAAAGTTGATCCGAGTGACCACAATGCACTTGGACTTCCATTTGTGTGCATTGATTTATTTGTATGCAATGGGGCGCATGAAATAAAGAAATTATTAGGTGGACCAAGTGCATACACGAAAAGTCTATATAGTTATCAAATCTAGTGGGATCGAAAAAGTTGATGAGACCCACTTGATATAACGATGTCCTCACCAAATCCATTGAAATGTCTCCGTGAAACGGGAGTTTGGTGAGTGAGAGCTTGATTGCCTTATACATCAAGTACTCATGTGGTCCTTCTTTCTCACCTTGTGTAGGATCCGAAGCATGGGAATTGGTGGCTCGAATTCGGTTCAGGCGTTCTGGTCGGGTACTGGCCATCGGTCCTGTTCACTCACCTCAGGGACCACGCAAGCATGGTGCAGTTCGGCGGGGAGGTCGTGAACTCGAGGCCCTCGGGCTTCCACACGAGCACCCAGATGGGGAGCGGGCATTTCGCCGGTGAAGGGTTCGGGAAAGCATCCTATTTTCGCAATTTGCAAGTGGTGGATTGGGACAACAACCTCATCCCTTTGCAAAACCTCCGGGTCTTGGCGGATCACCCGAATTGCTATGACATTCAAGGAGGGATCAATAGAGTTTGGGGGAACTATTTCTACTACGGAGGACCCGGAAGGAATGTGAGGTGTCCCTAAAAAGTTGGGGTTGTAGGTAAAACCAAAAAAGAAAAAAAAGGAAAAAAAAAAGGTGGGAATTAATTCTTTTTTCTTTCCTCGTTTGTAATTTCGGCTATTTTTTCCTCAAATATATGTATAATTTTTTTTTCTCATTGGGGGTGGCGGCTTGGTTTCTCGTCTCGAGATCATTAAAAATGAATGGGGTCTTTTCTTTACCTTAAATTTTCGATATTTCGACTAACGGGTCATCTACTTACACCACTTTTGAGGGGCTGAAGATGTATATTTGGAAAAGAAAGTAATGAATATATCATTATTTTGCGGTGGTTTCTCTCTCTCTTCACGACTTGTGATGTTTCATGAATACGTAGAGGGAAAAACTGACACAAACAATCCTTAAAAACTTATCAGCATCTAAAATGTCGAGATTCAAATTTAAAATCTAAGGATCACATTAAGGGATCATAAAAAATGTTGACGAAAAAAGATATAAATTAAAGTCAAAGTATATATGAAAATGCGGAATATGATTATGGCGTGGAGCCAGCGAAGCATCCATGAAGGAAGCACGTCTTGGGGAACAACCATGATTAGTCTCACCTTGAGACGATCAAAAAAATTAAAAATTTGTTTAATTTCCCCAGATCGTGCCCCAAGACAAATTTTTCAAATTTTTTTTTAAGGTGCAAGTGGAGAATTTATTGAGTTGACGAGCAGCTTGACAACTAGAGTTGCTTCAGCACTACGTCGTTGCATTAACAATGTATTGTGTACGGGAGATGGTAGTTTCGAAGTGCATAAGAAATTGGTGTGGGGAAGACGTTGGCCATGCAAGGTGCACAAGATTCAATTCAATGGCAGCATTGAGTTTCCAACACTTTGGATATTGTCGAAGCCCGAAGAGAGGGAGAGATGACCGCGATTGCGCATGCACGTGTGCTAAGTTATGGCGTGCACAAGAGTCGAGATTGCTCCTTATAGAAAAGTGAAGAAAAGCCAACAGTTTTAGATAGCTTATGAAGTGATGGAGTTCTGTCTAATCAGAGTATTCTCTATGTGTGTTTGTGTGGTTCTTAAATATGGAGTGAAAATGGTTAGCATCGTATAGGGATGATAAAAAAGTTGGATACTCGTGAGCCCGTCGAACTCTGGATAAATCGTTCATTGAAAATATGTCGTGTGGCCATGATAGCTAAAGTTGTTGAAGAAAACTTCTCTCGGTTGGTCTTTTTTTATTGGTAGGTTACGAGTGATGAATATGTGGATAAATGTCCTTGATAACTAAGCACAAGAACTTCCCTTCATCTCTCTCCCCTTAGCTTAGTCTATCCAATCGGGATCGGGGTTACGCTCCACCGTCGTCACACCTTGACTGTCACACCACCATCTCCCCCATCTATCTCTCTCTCCACTCCTTAGCCCAATCGGTCCATCAGGGTTGCAGTTACACTACCATCCCAGCCACTACCGTGATGCCACCCATCGCCACAACCCAACAAATCTGTAATACCATAACTAGGCTTCGTACCTATGAAATGATTTGAATTGCCCTCCCGTCCCCCTCCCCTTCGTTGCCATAGCCGGACTCAATGACCACTCATTCATGCATCCTCCACCGCCGCTGCCAATGGGAGGCACCAACCAACAACCATCGCCATTAACGGCTTCTTTGGCCACGCCACCACCAACCACTGTGGCCACTAATGGCATATTTAGAGGTCACACCGCCTCCGGATCTAAATGGCAGCAGCATACTGAGACCAGAGATCTGGAAGGAAAGAGACAGAGACAAATTGTGTGCGTTGGAGGGCAGAGAGGTCAACTATAATGAGTGGTTGGCAATGGTGGCATGTGGCCGTTCCGCCGGTGGCTGGTGATGGAGGGAGATGGAGGGAGCGAGGAGTTGCGATGGTAGGTACAAATCTCCGATGTGAAAAATTCTTACACATAGCTATTATGTCGCAATTTTGCAAGGGAGTGCCTATACAAAGTTGGATATACCCAGACCAACCCAACTTTTAATTACGTGATCCGTCATGTAGTCTTTCCGTTACATGAAAATAATTTGGCAAATTGACGAAGAGAGTTGTTGCGATGAAAAATTTTCTGTCTTGTAGAACTATAAAGAATGTATTACTCACATTTCCATCTGTAACGTTCGTGAGGGACTTCTCTCTTTCCACAAGTAGAAAAGAGAAGGGCATAAAAACCCACAGTTCTCCAAATACGGCACTCTTGTCGTCAATAGCATCATAGTAAATGATCGGAAAGTTGACTAATAAGCTGTAAAAGGTATACAATTTCTTATCGAAAATGTGAAATTTAATTGGGACCAAAATTTGAGACATTTATTTGTCTAATCTATGTATAGGTAACATCATACGTCTAGGGGAGCATGGTTCGGTTTGGTCTCAATCCAAATTGAACTCGCCGAACGGCCGAACAAAATTCCGTTTGGCAACATATTGAAGATCAAACCAAACTAAATAGAATAGATTCTGATGGCAGAGATGACTGAAAATTGCTTCTAAAGATAAGAACATGAAGCAGAAGAGTCGAAATTGAAAATGACTGACAATGCATCCACACAGCTTGGCCTCAGCTACCCCTTGATTGAGCCCAACCAATCACCAACCAACCATCATAGAAATTTGGAGCCTGCCCAGATCTGACACTGCCAACAACTGGTAGACTACTAACTTCATTAGACACGTTTTTTTGTTCATTACCATTCATAGGTTTATAGCTCCTAAATTAGATTCATGGACAATAGTCAATTCGTGTGAAAGAACATCTATTCATGTACCTGCATTAAACATGTACTGTCAACCGATCCTGATTTTTCATGGACATTTTGGGGGAATTCCAGTCACAGCCCAACCGATGGAACAGAGGGTGGATAAAAGAAAGAGAATGGACCAAAAGAAAACACAAGAAAGCTACGAGGACTTGGCTGATAATGAACATTGATTTTGTCACTGTTTTAAAGACATTTATCAATTCATTACACTTAGCAGTGCCTCAAGAACACTGCTAAGAAATGCAGTAAACATTTATTGAAATTGTCATATCCATAACTCAAACTTGGTTAGCAAAATCACTCGACAGTCAAAATTCATTTCCCCCTTTATTTTCTGTGCATACACATTTTTGGGAGCTAAGATTAGTTGAATCCGAAACCTTGTCAAAATGCCTATAGATTTCTCAGTTCAGTCTACACTAATATCCAATTCATATGAAAATCCTCCATAGAGCAATTTCAAAAGATTTTGTAAAATTTGGTCGAGAAGGTTCTCCATGATTCGGAAATACGAGGTTTTTGAGTTCTTTCGATATTCTTTCACCTGCAAGATTCATTGCTGGCTGATTGGAAAATTAGACATATTTCTAGTTATTTTCAAGTCCCAAAGCGACGAGCCAGAAGAAAAGTAGTAAGATAAATGAGTATAATGCATGATAGCCTAAGTTTGGTGATGTGGTCATATTATGCTGGGGTTCGCCCGTCTTATTCGGGAATGAGGTTGGACGATTAGTGTAAACCTGTATTCTAATAGTTATCTACCATGGATATGCCAAATTAAATACATTCTAAGAGTAAGCTATAGCCCCACTTTCACTCCTCATTCTAAGTACTTACGGTTTATCCATCAAAGCTATTTAAAAAAGAAGGTGAGGAAGACCAAGTCTCCTCTTTGTTCGTCCCGTTTGGATCAAAGACAATGAATTGACTAACACCGATCAACTAGGCAGGTGAATTTCGATTTGTTCTAAATCTATATATGGATCTTGGTTCGCTTTATTTTCTCAGAAGTGGTATGTAAGAAACTCAACACTCCAACATCCGTACATAGGTTTACAGCACCTAGAAGTTTAATTTGAATTACGTACCTTAGTGAGTCGTGCTAGTCGATTCACCACATACATACCTTTGACTAAGTCTTGCTCTCCTCCTTCCTTAGATGCCTTTGATGGATAAATCGTAAGAATTTCAAAATTAGATATAGAGAGGGGGATCGTAGCCTATATAGAGCATATTCTGACAGGCCCATGCATTAGAAGTTATCCTTCAAATACCGACCCACACCAACCATCCAACCATATAATTACCAAACTGAGCTGTCCAAAACCTATATAATTGGATCACTTAACTATATTCAGGTATCATGCTTTCATCTCATACATTTTTATTTACTATAACCTATTTTTCACAAATTCAAATATTATACAATTAATGTCAGTCCACGTTACAAAAATATTTTCTAAAATTGACATTACCAGAACATAGATCACAAAAATTAACCCTGATAACAGAGAGGGAATAACCCAGCCCGAGAGGACCGGAGAGAAGGAAGCTCCTAATGGCCTTGGGGAAACATTAATTTTTTTTTCTCCAGAGTATGTTCCCCTAATTGTTACGTTGTCCTAAAGATCAGTTTAAATTCTCATTTTAATGGGAAAAGAAGAAAGAATAATAAGTAAGATGAACGAATTGCCACCCTGTATTACACAGCCAACCATAAAAAACAAAAGGCGAAAAGTATTATTAATGTAAATGTGACCATAATTGAGGCAAAGCTAACATACCTGAATTGACTGTACACGATAAGTCGAGAGTTCATGCATTAAAAACTCCCATCAGAAAAAAGAAACATTTTGGCAACTTCAAGCATGCTCCAAAATCCAGAGACAAACAATGCTCCGTCTCCCATATGATCTAAACATTGGGATAAATCAAAACAGCCCATCTGATTGTAGGCTTCATAAGTTTTCTTGGAAATGGTTTGAAGCAGAATATTAGCACAGTTTTGTTCGGTGGATTTTCCTATAGTCGACTCAAAGGGAACAATTATTTGTCACAACAAAAAGAAAGAGGTGAAGACCATCCAGATGCATCAACAATATCTGAATCACTCATCACATATCTTATCCAGCAGCTTGGTGCCCACCTCACTCAATTCCACATTTTCCATCTTTAACCGTCGGCGCATTGTGGGTTCTTTCCTTCCGGCAGCTACATAAGTTCTAATCAGTGATTCAAACACTGCAGCTTCTAATTGATCTTCTGTCTTCTTCAAAATTTTCAGAAAACCTTCAGCGCCATCGACATCCTTCTGCTGCTCAAAATGCCTCATCATAGTCCTGACAGTTTCAGGTGACGGGACCCACTTTCTGCCATCTCCTCGGCCTGTGGATACCGCATTGTCAACACATTCCGCAGCTGATTTTATGTCCTCATTTTGCAAATAATACTCCAAAAATACCTCCCATGTTTTAGCATTAGGCTTGGCCCCTCTCCTACGGGCCCTCTCCTTGAGATCTTTAGCCTTCTCCAGTGAACCTTCTTTAGCATATGCACCAATCAACACATTCACAATGCGGATATCATAAGTAGTGCAATTAGATTCCCACTCTTTGAAACACTTCTCAGCACCTGGTAAATCCTTCAACTTGACCAATACTTGGATCATATTCAGATAGCTAATGTTTGCAGTTTTAGGAAAAGCCAGCCTCAAAGAACGCCATATTCGATAAACTTCAAGCAGGTTACCCGTTCTCCCATACAAGGTTATTAGGATCTGATAGGCTGAAAGATTTTTATGTGCATTTATCTTCTCCAATTCCTTAAGAGCCTTCTCAGCCTTCTCAAACGAGCCTGCATCCACATATATCGAGGCTATGTTGCTATATGTTGTCCAATTTGGAGCAACTCGACCATCCCGCTTCATCTCCTCAACAACCCTTTCAACCCCCAAAATGTCGCTCGTAGAAGCAAGAGCCCTCATCCATATATTGTAAGAAAAAGAATCTAGCATAATTTGGCTGGACTTCATTTCCTGTATAATGGCAGGGACCTTTTCCGGCTGACCTGTCTTAGTATAAAGAGTCATAATGCTGTTGTAAGGCATAGAGCTCAACTCTAAGTTGAGTTCCTTCATCTTTTCAAGTAAACCTTCAGCTTCTTCAGCCATGAGTTCCTTACAATAGCAATTCAAAAGGGCGCCATAAGAAAGATGGTTCTTTGATGCTTCAGGGAGATTTATGAAGTAGTTCTCTGCTGCTGTAATTCCTTTAGCTTTGGCCACCAAATCGAGATGTATGGCTTGATCACTCACAGTTTTGTTCATGCCTCTTTCAGCCATAGCCTCTGATAGCTGTAGATAAACAATTTGCAACTTTGAGGTTCAACGGAAAATTCCATCAAACAAATTAAAGAAAAAGTCACAGATACACATTGATCCTCTATGTCTTAAATATTGATGAAGTAAGAACCAAGACAGGAAAAGATATTAAGAATCGAGACAAAAGATCAGTGGAATTTGCAGCAGCACAGATAGAAGCAGATTATGCGTGCAATATTCTATTTTCTCAATTATGCCTTATGACTGCTAGTCTTGCCCGACACATATCAATCAACCGACAAAAGTATTAGAACCCCATTTCTCAAGCAGCCCACAGATCTTGCATCTAAATAGAGAAAAATCTTCATCTGCTCAATGAGAAAGATAAGATGCATAGCAACACTTCAAACCCACCCGACATACAAGTAATGCTTGCAAAATATCTCTGCTTAAACAATCGATGCAAGCTTCTGATGATAAAATCTCTCTGTTAATTACCGGCAACCACGATAAACAACTACAATCAAATTGAGAGCAACGCGAACTTCAAGAGCACAAAGGGTTAGCTGTTCATACTTCTCTACAATCTCACGATGCTCAACCCTCAATACACCATGCCTGCCTTTATATCCAAATTCAACTCCATGATCAAAGTACAAGCAACTTCATGACATTAATTAGGAGGAATTTCCCGACAACTGAATCAAAACCTTGGATTTCAAGAAAATACTTGTAATTAAACAGGAAATGCTCTGGCATTCTCACTAAGTAGGAAAAACTGGAAATGTAGCGCAACACTAGGAGAAGGAAGAAGAAAGCATCAGAAGGAAAAATCCAAAGTTTCCAATTAATTTGCGAATACCACAGATAACAAATCGTGGATTCACTGGATGCACAGTATAGCACGTTTATCCATGCTCTACAGCGCACGCATTGCAAGATACTGCAGCAATTCTGGACCAAACCAATGAAGACACGTTACAATCCTCCACATTCGTTGACGCATAGCAACAAACACCTCGCACACACGCACGGAGGAACAAGCGATCACCTTGAAAGCCGGGTAATACAGGCGGCGACCTCGGAGCTTCTTGAGAGTGTCGCCGACCTCCCACTTGTAGACCCTCTTGGAGCTCTTGAGGAACCGGTTGAGCTGCTGGCGGACGCTCATCTCGGAGCTGCCATCCCTGAACAGCCGCCGGTAGAGGGCTTCCTCCAAGTACGTCTTCGACCGCTTGGAGACGCTCCTCGTCCGGCCGAAAGGTTGCAGGGCCATCTCCGGCGACGCGGCAGCGCGGTGTCACTGCGGAAATGGCGGTGCTTGTTGCAGAGGGTTGAGGACAACGGTCATAAACCCTAGTGACGTTCTTGCGTTTGCTCTGAACGGAGAAGAAGACAGTTCCCTGTACTGCCCCAGTCTAGTGTAGAGTGGGAGAACCGGTTGGGCCCGGTCCGGGCCGGGCCGGCCCATAGGAGGGAGAGGGGGCAAGTTTTGTCACTCGGCCCGGCCCATATGTACAGATTGTTTTTTGAGGAGTTGAAGTGAGCTGCATACTATCGGTGTTTACACCAAAAAATGACCGACTCTTTTATCGACGATTGGAGGACTTAATCGGTTTTTATAAGGGTGGGTCAAAGAAGACGTTCACAAAGGGTATCAAAATCAACAACTCATAAGTGAAGTTATCGACGACCTGTCAGGGAAGTTGTCGACGAAGGTTACTTTTGCCCGTGATTCAGCGGTGTGGATTTTACCATGTGTTGGAGCCTCAAGACAAAAGGAGAATGTGTAGATTCCGGCATTGAATCACGGCTCCAGTACCAAATGATAGTTGATTTGTGACCTCGGAAGTTGTAACTGCTTTTAGATATGATTGTTAGGGTACGAAGGGCGTGCCTAGAATCTCAGAGAATGTGTAGCAATAACTGCAGTTAGAATAGTAATGAATAATAACTGTTTTTGTTTAGTTGGCGTAAGTAGGTTATAAATACCCATCGTAAATATTGTAGAGTATGGATTCCCCATGATGTGATATCTTATAAATATTCTAATTAACGAAAGTTGCCATTTTACTTCAACCAAAGAAATTGTCATTTTACTTCATGTTTACAAATTTACTGTTCCTTGCACTGTAAATTTCCAGGATTCACTTTTTCATTTCCTTCCATTACCAAAAGCCAAAGTAAAAATGCTGTCCTAGACCATCGCAAAACCTGTTTTCTCATTAAAATGAATATCAACATTTTTGGTGAAAGATTTTCACTCTTTGGGTGACAACATCTCTCTTGGCATGCCTAGTGAGACTTTTTCTTGTATGATATAGGATTTTTGCCATGACAAGAACCAGAAATCAATATGAAAGTAACAAAGTTGTGGGCAACAACCCTTTGCCGCCAGATGGCAATAACAGGGGTTGTGCATTCCGAGTCTTCGGCTGCTCAGGCAGCGGCAGAAGAGAACTAAGAAGGAAATGCTGATGTCTTGAGACGCCTCAAAAAAGAACAAATGAGAGAGATGACACCCAATCCTAACATTGGTGTCAATTACAAGGAGGTCATTCTAGGAACAACGAAATGACATTGTCAACTACATAGTCAGCCACATGTCCGATGTAATCAAGCTGATGATCGTCAATGTGGTCAATGACTTGTCTCTAGGCCAGGATTGTCTAACCAACTGTATACACTTCGAGGAAATCCAACAGTTCAAGGGTATTTTCCTTTTACATTGGGTCAGTTCAATAATGCTAACAACTTAGGCCATATAATCTCCTATGCTAATATTGCAAAGGCCATAAACTTCTAACCAAGGTCAAAACAATACTAATAATGACAACTTTGTTGGCATTGTTAATGGAAATAATCAAAGTAATGTTTATCAAAATAATCAGAATGGAATTAACAACTTGACAGATCAGAATGGTCAACAAAATGGACTAATGCCAAATCTTGAAAATATAAGCCCTGTTAGTGTTGTCGTGCCACAAAATATAGCAAATATTCCTTAAAAGCATAATATGCCAATTAATGCTAATTTAGACAATCTGGCAATATCAGCATTACCACCTAAGGGACAAGATGGTCAGTCTAATCCCCAATTGACCCCAGAGCATTAAGCTGATGAAGTTCGGCAACACTTGGTTGCAACGAGAAACTCTCGAGGTAAAGAGTATTAGTGTGGTAATCCACACAGACGAAGCTTGAAGTAATTACTGAATTTGACAATGTGCGAGTTCAATCTCCTAACGGGTATGGGTGCAACATTTGTTGTATTAGTGGTAGAGAAGATTGAGTCCGAGAGTCATTGTAGAGTAGTCAAAGGTGCAGGTGGAGAGAGCGTTTTGATGAGGTCCACGGTTGTGAAGAATTTAAGTGTGTTTTGGACTTAAAAGACGTTTGTGGCAGTCAAGGAGCCTCAAAGGGCTGTCGGACAATTAGAAGAGAGTTTTTTAGGTTCCAAAGAAGAGTTCAAGTTCCAATGAAGTGATTATAATTTGCCCACAACATCAAGTTAAGATAAAGATTAACCTAATTCTAAAAAAAACACCAACTTTAAGTCGAGGAACAATTTTGGCCTGAACTTTTTTTTGTCCCATAAAAAAACACCAACTTTAGGTTAAGGACAATTCTAGCATAAACTTTTTTTTTATCCCGTAAAAAAGCACCAACTTTAGGTTGAGTGACAATTTTGGCCCCAATTTTTTTTTTGTCTCATAAAAAATCACCAACTTTTACCATGATCCTAAATTTGGCCCCCCGTTGACTTTCACTATTGTTTGAGAAAGAAGGTTATGGTGGTGAGGTTGGCGAATCTCATCCATGGTGTCTATCGACAGGCACTGGTCAACTTTAGATTACGTCTGGTTTGAGAGATTCAATCTGGAGATATTTTTGACTTGCCGGTGAAGTGGAAGAGACGACCAATTTCACCGTTATTCTTCAAATTGTGGCTCAGAGAATAAGACAATGAATATTGCTTTAAATTCAATCAGCAATCCACGTGGATTTATTGCTAAGGTGGAATAGTCAAGGTAGATAATCAATGGTTCTAAGTAAATGGGGGCCAGATTTTGGATTTAAGCGAAAGTTTGTGCTTTTTTACTAGACAAAAAAAGTTGAGGCCAAAATTATCACTTAACCTAAAGTTTGTGCTTTTTTACGAGATAAAAAAAAGTTCGGGGCAAAATTGTCCTTCGACCTAAAGTTGGTGCTTTTTTACGAGGCAAAAAAAAATTCGGGCCAAAATTGTTCATCGACCTAAAGTTGATGCTTTTTCTTGGAATTAACCCGATGAAGATTATTGAAAATACGTCTTGAGTTATAACTCCTAATAAAAGAGAAAAGAAAAGTTACTTAAATTGATTCAACAAGGGTTTGCACATCAATATAACTCCTTTCTTGGGCTCTAGTTGATCAATTATACTACTTTGTTGCCGAAGCTAGCATTCAGATTTTCTCAACTCAAGTTCTTAGTGAGGGATTGCGCGGAAGAAACCGAGAAACTTCAATAGTGTAATTAATGGTTAAGAAACACTTTGAGTGTATGTGAGAATTCGAGTGCAGTACGTAATCTCGGTTGCATCACTTATAAGTAAATAGAGTTTTTTTTTTTTTTGTGAGAAATCCGTCATTATTCTGAGTGTATGGCGAGTGAGAATTCGGAATAGCCCAGTGCGATACGTAATTACAGCAAGGGATTAAGCTCGATGGAAGCTATAAGTAGATGGAGTTTCTAGTCTCTCTTCTCGTGAATGTAGATCTAACCATTCAAACCATATAAATATGGTGTTCGATTTATTTCCCGTTTATTATTGTTATCGTAATATTTCAATGCGATCATAATTTTTTTTTTTTTTGGTTAAAGATGAAGCGTGCTAATTTATGTCTTCTTAAGATCGAGCTTCTGCCCATAACGTCTTGTCACGCCGCCGAACCGTGTTCTCGTGTGGTGTCGAGCCTCTCGCCGACCGAACATACCGGCAACCAAATGTTACCGACAACATAATCCTCCGTATGGATCGGTTAGGCCAACCAGAAGGTGGATCGTGGTCCCTCCCTCCGTCCCTCCTCCACAAGAAACTTCAGTGAATCGAACGTCAACGTGTGGTTAGAAGACTCACCAGCACAGATCCTCCCATCTCCTTTTTTTACGCCACATCATTGATTTTGATGGGCCTTTGCTTGCATCTTGCTCAATCGCCCAAGATCACCCACGTGCTTCCTTCTCTGTGGAAATGTGAGCACAGATGTCAGAATGTCCACAAGAAAAAGAGAGAGCAAAAGATGCCAAGTTGCCATTCATCAAAATCACGTTGTACCCGTTTAATTAATCACGCGTGTTGCCCACTAACTTTAATAAATTCGAAAGGATTTAGGCATGCGTAAATGATGTTGTTGACCAATTAATTAAAATCCGGATTAATACAGCCAAAAATCCTAAATTAGTATATCAAAATCCCAAATTGATACACCCATGCCGTATATACCCCAAACTAATTTCCGTATAATAAAAGATCATGGATTTTAGCACGTTTTCGAAACTTCAGAGAATACATAAGACAATAATCGGCCGATTTTCTGATCTAAGATTTTGGTGATTTGGGATTTTTCATGATGCGGAAATTAGTTTGCGAATAAATGTGACATTGGTGTACCGGTTTGGGATTTTCTGCAACATGAAATGCGATACGAGTGTAATAGTTTGAGAGTTTTTGTTACATGAAAATTAATTTAGAATATATGGTACATGTGTACCAGTTTGAGAGTTTTTTTGTGATATTAGCCCTTAAAATTAAGTCATATATAGTGGCTAAACATGCTAATTAATAACATAATTTAGAAGGGGCACATCTATAAATACTTCATATTCTCCTCTTTCTTTTAGGTGAAGGCACAATGACTGTGAATTGACGGTCCCATCTTTACTCAAAAGGGAGAGAATCCTCATTTAATTCCAAGCCGTAATGGTAGGTAGATCATGCATTAGCTCAGTGCATGATTTACTGTTAGCCTTCCTTTTCTTTTTCTTCTTTAATTTCCAAATTGCATGATGACTCCAAAATGAGCTGGCCTTACCCAAATTTTTTCATGGATAGCACAACTAGCACACGAGCAACTTTCTCTTGGTGTAGGTCCAAATGGGTGCAAATGACAAATGCTAATTTACTTAGGGAACATGTGATCTTTGGGTACTTAAAAAATTCAACACGCTAATTCCTTCTGAGAGTACAAGGCATAATAGACAAAATTAAGAACAAAATCGGGGTTTTGTCAATAAGTATTCTTAGATAACGTTACCTGTTTTGAAATATTGAATATGTCTCCGAGTATCAAAGAATTTCAAAAAGAGTGTCCGAGTCCCTTAGATAACTATTTTTATAAACTTTTTATCTAGTAATCTCAGGACACTCCATTGCTATGTTGTTTGTGTGAGCTACTTGAGCGCATGTTTCAAGAAAAGACATCGAAATATCCATACAACATGAATATGTAATATGCCAATCAGATAATCCCTAAGGTTGGAACTCGGTGTGATTCGATCTTCTTATATTATAAATTATTAGGATTTTAGGTCATATGTTCAACTTTTCTTAAGCAGTTATTCGATTGATTTGTTATTTCATGTTTATTATTTTGTTCGCTAACGTAAACCCTTCCACCGCATCATGTCCCATATAGTGTGCGTCGATGATCGATCGACGTATCGAAGACGATTAACTTTCGAATGACTTACATATGCTGTCTTTTGCCCTAAAACAGTCATGTTGAGTCGGAATCGAACACGAATTCCTAAGATGCTTAGGACTTATATGCCCCGTCATGTTACCAAAAAAAAAAAATTTCGACGCATCATTTTAATTTTTATGAGAGCATCAAGAGTATAATTTGCTATCGAGAGAATCGATGTCAATGAATTTTGTTTTTTTTTTTTTTTTGCCCTTTTTATGTGCTTGAGAACTATTGAATGCTTGGCATGCAAAATGGATAAAGGCGAAGTAGCTGGAGAAGATTTGATACTTTAGAGAACCTTCCAGCGTCGATCCAGCACATCGCAAGCAACTCCAAAAAATCTTCTTGGATAGAAACGCCTAGAAAATTCCCCAAGGATCCATCATCCATCCCAAGATTTCTGGCCAATACAAATCCAACCCAAAAACCTCCAAAAGAAGTCAAATTTTGTATAGAACGTAATCTATTGCGGATAAATTTTTCTCTAAATAATCTTAATGTGACGGTTGGTTTCAGTATCTCGGTTTATATCGAGTTCGATGGCTTCTCTGGACCGATTTCAGCTCGAATGTATCGAATAATCATGTGATCGGAGATCTTAGACCTCTTAGACCTCTAATGCCGGTAGCCACGGGAAATTTGACGGCCGAGATGTCGAACCAAGGCCCTTTTCCTCCCCGATCTCGACACGGAAGGCTCAAGACGTCTCGCCCGATGATGGCTATTCCATAATTTATTCCGTGGGATCTGCAGACTAACATTCACGTGCGGTTAATATGATCTCAGTTGTTCTTAATGTTCCGGTTCCTGGAATCCGATCCAGGCAAGAACACCCACCACGGCTTCCATCCGAGAGGTATAAATTCGCAGTGGGGCACCACCAAAAGAGTTCGAGGATTTTGCACCGAGGACCAGAGGCCACGAACAGGACACGTGGCGCCAACCCAGTATGACCCAGCGACGACTATAGAACTCCGTGAGGAACAAGAAAAATGGAAAGAGAATGAATCTGCAGTGATTCTGCGATTTGGCTGCGACTGCTGTCAGAGGTAGAGAACGAGAATATCGTGGTGGACAATGACCCCCATTTTCAAGCATCTCGAAGAACTGTAAACAAGCAAAAGCAGAACCGGAAGTTTCGTTCTCAGTTCCTGAGGGGAAGGAGCTGTTTCGATCCTTCGTTTCAATTTGCCATTGCAGAGCTTCGGGGTCTGCTTTTACAGAGGAGCCTTCTTCTTTTTCCTGAAGAAAGGCTCTGTTTTCGCGGCTTCTCCTTTTGCTTTTGCTTTTGCTTTTGTTCTTTCTTTTCCTTTGCTTTTCCTCCTTTGGGTCATCGAGTCTTGCTCGCTGGAGTCCGGATTTCTTGGGGAAGAAGATGATGAGGCTGTGGATGCTGGGGCTGCAGCTGTCGGAGCTGTGCGTGAGCTCGGTGGTGCATTTGCTCTACGGGTTTTATATATTCAGCTCGGCCGTGGCCGGTGATCTCTCACAGGCGTTGTACGACTGTCTCTTCTTCAGCTCGAAGTATAACGTGGAAACCCAAGAAGTTCCCAGAGCTACCTCATCGCCATCGTCATCTACCAATGTCGATGGTCTTCCTCCAATCGTCCTGCTTCACGGTATTTTCGGATTTGGAAAAGGGGTATGCGTAGTTTTCGATTTTTGTGCCTTCCTTTGCTTCTTTTGTTTTTGGTGAATTTGAAGTTACAACAGTTGTTCTTGCTTTTTGGTTCGTGGTGTTGAAGAAATTGGGAGGCTTGTCCTATTTCGCCGGGGCGGAGAAGAAAGATGAGAGAGTTCTGGTGCCTGATTTGGGGTCTCTCACCAGCATTTACGATAGGTGTGTGTGGCGATCAGTAGATTTTTTGAGCTCGCATACATTGAGCTACTGGTTTCTTTGTTAAGTCGAGAAACTAAATCAGGAATTGTACTTTTCAGGGCCTGCGAACTCTTCTATTATTTGAAAGGCGGGCAGGTTGATTATGGCGAAGAACACAGTAAAGCCTGCGGGCACTCACAGTTCGGACGGATTTATGAACAAGGTTCTCTATTGTTTTGAACTCTGTTTTTTGGCATTCATGTTGAAGTGCTTGCATAATTAAGTTGTCGAGTTATGTTTGTGAGGAATGTGCATGAATCGGATGATGCAGGGCATTACCCCGAGTGGGATGAAGATCATCCTATTCATTTTGTTGGGCATTCGGCAGGAGCGCAAGTTGTTCGCGTTTTGCAACAGATGCTAGCTGATAAGGTGGGTCCTATTTTGATTGTACTGTGCGATCTTCAAAATTAAAAGTATGAATTAATAGCTTATAAGGTGGGTATGTCATGCAGTGAATTTGATGTAATTATTTCAGGCATTTAAGGGATATGAGAACACTTCTGAGAACTGGGTTTTGAGCATTACTTCATTGTCTGGAGCTTTCAATGGGACCACTAGGACCTACTTGGATGGAATGCAGTAAGTTTGAGCTGACGCAGTTTTGTTATCATGTCGCATTCTAATGTAAACTTGTCCAGTTGTGTTCGAAAAGTTAGTTTGGAATTTATTATCCTGACGGTGATGTTTATCTGAAGTGAGGAGTGACTAACTTTTTTATTACTTAGTTTGCTCAGTAATGTCACTTATGCAGAATGTCATTAAGTTTGCATACAAAATCAGATAATCAAACAGGAGTCTATGTTTGCATAATAGGTCCTTTTAACTTTCTGCTTAGTGCCTCTGGATCTAGGTTAACCAAGTTCTGAAATTTTCGTATGAACTTGTCATTGTGCTGTTCTACTGCAGACCTGAGGACGGACAATCCATGAAACCAATCTGTCTGCTTCAGCTTTGCCGCCTTGGAGTGATAATATACGATTGGTTCGACATTCCTTTGCTCAAACGTTATTACAATTTCGGATTCGATCACTTCAACATGTCGTGGAAAAAAACGGGCATATGGGGTCTGGTCGACTGCCTAATGGGGAATGCTGGCCCATTCGCTTCAGGGGATTGGATTCTCCCTGACCTCACAATCCAAGGATCAATTCAACTCAACAGTCATCTATGTACTTTTCCCGACACATACTACTTCAGTTACGCTACGAAACGTACTCGGAAGATCATGGGAGTCATCGTTCCCTCGAGCATACTTGGGATCCACCCTTTGCTTTTTATAAGGGTGTTGCAGATGAGCCAATGGCGTCATCCTCCAGATGTTTCTCCACCTTACAAAGGTTACAGGTACTTTTTACATAATTGTCAGAGTTGCATGCTCATTGTTCTCATATTCAACATAAATGCTATTGCACTTGTCTAATTCAGTTGGAAAAAGAGATGGCGAATTTCCTAGTTTTCTCATCCTATCAGAAATTATCGTGTTATTTGGCTGCTCCTGCGTGTGATACTTGAGATCTTTGTGCTAACAAAGATTCGAAGTAACCATTAGGCAATAATATAAGTAACGTGAAATGGACGCTTACCAAATTTGACTAGGCAATAGCAACCATTTTTTCTGATTCAAACCCACCCTAAGGCAAAAGCAACTGTCAGTGACCTGCATAATTTGGTTAAGTACTTGGCCAAAAAAAAAAATGCTTTAGCACAATGAAAAATCTTCATGCTGTTGGAAAAAGGATACTGAATTTCATAGTTTCCGTATCCTATCCCAAATATTTGTTTTGTTCTGCTGCTTCTGCATATAATACTGGAGATCTTTGTTCTGATTTGAAGCAGCCATTAGGCCACTGTAATAAACATGGAAGATTCATCTTAACCTGAAATGGCAAAAGTGGATGACTCGTTTTCTTCCTGAACGTATATGGACAGGGATGAGGATTGGCGGGACAATGATGGAGCGTTGAACACCATATCTATGTCATACCCGCGTTTCCCAGTTGAACACCCGAGTCGTTTTGTTTTGAGCGATTCCGAATGCCAACCTCTGCAGCCTGGAATCTGGTTAGTTATTCTTCTTCACACCATTCTTTCCTCATCATCCTAAAGGAAGGCATTAATTTGTAATGTATTGCGAACTTTGATTTTTCATCGACAAAGGATATAACTTTTGTTGGGTTGTATGCTCCAATGTCTGTTCTGTACTGAAAGATTATTCAGTGGATTCCATCTTTTCCCCAAACCTGCTCAGCGTTCGGTAGATTAAAATCTTGAATGCTGATTCCTCAAATGACTGTTTGCATCATGACTTAATGAGTGCATTTTGATACCTTTAGAATCGAATTCCCTGCGAAATTACGAAACCAGTAATTTATTCTCTGTTTTTTTCTTCCAAGACCATCTAAATTCACTTGCTTTGACCATTTCCCTTCTCATTTTACAAATTCTGTCATTCTTCCCACCAAAATCCATGGATCATTAACCTCACATGTCACCGTTTGTGGAACCGCAGGTACTACAAGATTGTGGAAGCAGATCACGTCTTTTTCATCATAAACCGGGAGAGAGCCGGAGTTCAATTCGACCTCATGTACGACAGCATCTTCGAACGCTGCAGAAAGCACGTTTTCAGGAAAAACCCACCTACACTTCCCGATCAAGCCCACCAATAGCATAGAAACATTCAAAGAGGTAGAAATGTATGAGGAAACCAATGCGGTTCGCGCGCCGATATATTGCATCTTTTTCATGGTGACGTAAATGCAGATTCCATCGTCCTAATTCTTATTTCTAGCCCTTTTTCGCCTAGCCGGAAAATCACAGCCTTCCTAAACAAACTGATCTGTCATGTACTTGGTGCTAAACTTTCTTCGCGACTCGAAATGGTTACGGTGAGCTGAGGCCGAACTCGAGATTTCATGCTTCTCAATTTCATTTGCCTCACCAACTCGATTTAACTTCTTGAAGTCGTCTAGTTCCTACGCAAGGCCTTGTCACTCTGTGCTGCCCCATTGGACCAGCTTAGGCCATATTAAATTGGGCCAATCTACTTGAAGGTGAATCAAGCTGAGAAGAGAATCCCTTTGGAGTCAAATGGAGGCCCATTCCATTACTTTGCTGAGCATAATCAGCTCAAATCATATAGTAGCATATCCGTCAACGTGAGGATCATTGGTTGGGACTAGAACATCCATACTCTCTTCATTGGCTAATGCCAAAGGAGCAAACAGAGCTCGTTTGGTGTAACTTTTCTCTTTTTGTTACTGATTACAATCGCGAAAAAGGGGTGCTGTAGTTTCTATACGGTATTTGGTAAACTCTTCATGGTTGCGGCATGCTTGCATACAACAATTTATAAGATGTGGTCTCACCTAACTTTGAGGTACCATAACTTTCAAGCAGGTACCGTCAAACACTTTGATACGGTGCTTCACAATACAGTTACAGACTTCACAATCACAATTATACTATGTAGACATTTTATGGATATCTAATTTCAAATTGACATTTTATGGATAGCTAATTTCAAATTGACATGTAAGGTTCTTGCCACTACTTAAATATTCAATTAAAATCTGTCACTCACTTTGTAAATGAATTTATCGATTAGTAGTTTTATCTTTAGCTTTTTTCCACTGGGAAGGGGAGTCTAGAAAATGCCATTCGCATTAATTCGGATCGAAAAGATCAATGGCTAACTGGTCGGGTTGAGTCGGGCTCAGTTTGGCTAGATTGTTAAGATCATCAGTATAGGCGGGACTCATTAGAGAGTGAGACTTGTCTACACTTAAATCTTCATGGTTCGGGTCAATCACAATTGTTGACCATATGAATCACACGAATTTCACAAAATTTAATGATTATGATTACAAATGATCCGTAGCGGTCCTCATACAATTTTCCTGTTGGACCTAAACGAACTGACTGTTGTGCCTGTGGCCATGGTCATATCAGATCTCTGGTGCATGGATTCACGATTAGGGCGAAAGGGCCTTCTCCATGTCTCTTTTGGGAGGCCACGAGCCAAGTTTTACTTCACTTTGCTTCCCCAAATTTAAGCAGACATCGACTCACTCCTACTAGTCCAGGCAAAGCTCAATTTTATGGAGCTGTTCAAAGTGGCCGGGCACTGCACCACGAATTCCTAAACACTCGTAAACTTGTTCGCTCCGTACGGACGAGAGGGTTAAATGATTCTACTGTTGTTGACGGCGAATCCCATTATTGTCATGGACCGGAGAGTAAAAATCCGAATTGACAGCCCAAACATGGAAGAACTTGCACTTCATGAGGCAGCTAATCAACTCTCATATGCAAATATGTTCCTTCGTCACTAAATCAACTATACGGATATCGATAAGCGCTAGGGGTGTATAAAAGGAACTGTCTGAATCGAATCGAACTGGTTGGTTCTAGACGGTTCCCGATTTTATGTGTGGAACTGCCCACCTGGACCACCCGAATCTACCGATTTTTTTGTTAATTTCTTACAAACATGTAAAAAGCCCTGAGCACACATGACCCTTACCCTTTGCTTGTCTCTTACGGTGTTACCTTCCTTTATCAATTTTGCACGGAATGGGGTTGTTTTGATAACTCTCATAATGGGCCCATATGCAATTTTGGTTAACCCACACAAATATCCATTAGGGAATTAAAATCTTTCTCATAAAGATCTTGTAATAGATTATGGACTACAAGCCTAAAATAAATAATAATAAAACATGTCATCGGTTTCATTGGTCCACCCGGACCAGTCCGGGTTCGGTTCTTGATTCCTGAGTGAGAACTGGACTGCAGAGCTCCTAATATGCACCATTCACGAGCATTTACCATCCCAGGTATATCATCTCTTTTTGGCCGGGGGGGGGGGGGGATTCACGAACATAGACAGATTAGACAACTAATTTAAAATTAGTCCAATTTTTTTTATAAAAAAAGAAAAAAAACTAAGTCAGAAGTTATGGGAAAAACGAGAGTCTGACATGGACATGGACATGAGTTTGGATTGGCTTATGTTTCTTCGATTGGCCTGTGGTTACAAATACTATTGTCTTTCTGGTCCATGTCTTCCCCTACGCCATCTGGTGGTGGCACTGCGTGGCAATGATTACTCCCTAGTGTTGGAGTTCTCGGCTTGGATTCCCCACCACGTGCTCGGTGGCATGCCCTCATCATTCGTCTTCTTTGGAGTCTGCATCTCTACTGGTTCAAAAGATTCACTTCAGTCGACAGTGCAATTTTGAAGTGAGTGAAAGTGCATACTGTTCTGACCCAAAACAAAAGTGCAGACTTTAATATAGGAAGGCGAATTATTTTAGAATCAATCTAGATTTCATCGGAACCAGTTTTTAAATTTTTAGAGCCTAAAATTTACGCTGCATATCTTATTTTGAAACCTAAAATCGGACTGGTTCTATCATGAAACCATGTTTGCCCCTATAATATAAAATATATTGTGTAGTTAATAGTCATAGTCTAGAGAATCGAAACAATGCAAAGTGCAAAGTGAGCACAATATATAAATGCAAGGAGGGAAAAGAAAATGGAAAATCTAAGAATTATGTTAACAATGGAAAGTAAAATAAAATGGTAAATCGAAAATGAAACCTTGTCTCAGTTGTGAGATTACACAAAGAGAAGTACTCTCTTTTACCAACTCATGAAATCCCTCCAAGTTATTGTATTTACATATAGATATGCTCAACCAAGAAATTTGTTGTTGACTCGAAGCTCGAATCATATATTTTTATTAGAGAAAATACACAAAACCAACCAAGACTTCAGGGGTAGCACACTCTTGCCTCTAAACTTTCAACTCTTACACAAGACAGCCATGAACTTTCGTTCCGTTACAGCCACCAACCCTTTGTTATTTTTTCTATTGGCATGTTCAATGCATATAACTTTTAAGAGATAAAACTATGCTTTCATCTCATTTGTAAAGGATATCTCTATTTTACCATTAATTGTGGCAAAATAAATAAAGTATAGAAAATGTGAGAAAACTAAATTAACTAAAATTCTAATGATAGAAACAATGCGTATCAATAACATTATTAAATAATAAATTTGTTAAATTTTGATAAATATATCCACTTTAATCTACTAAAGAAGATATTGTAAAGATAAAATTAAATACTAACTAAATAAAAAGGGAACAGGCCTCAATAACACAAAGCCCAAATGACGATAATTGGCTATTTCTATTCAAAGGGTTAATCAATTGTTAAAAATGATTGATTAATAACGAATATTTAAAAAAATTATAAAAGAAAATGACATCCTCAACTCATAAAAGATAACCAAAATCCAGGATGATATTTTTAAATATCTTTTATTGGTCAATCATTTTTGGGTTAATACCACGAAAAATCCTAAACTGGTACACCTGTGATAATTTTATCCCAAACTAATTTTCTGACCACCAAAAACCCAAAACTGGTACATTTGTGATAAATTTACTCTCCGTTAATTTCCATTAAATTGAATTAATACCACAAAAATCATAAACCGGTACGCTTGTGACAAATGGAGGGTAAAACATAGAATTGGTACATTCGCCAATTGCCACGTGTCATTTAACAAAGCAATTTGACAGTAAAATTTAATGGAAATAAACTGAGGATAAATATTTCATAGGTATACCAGTTTGAGGTTTTTTATGGTTAAAAAATTAGTTTTTGGTAAAATTATCACAGACGTACTAGTTTGAGGTTTTTCGCGGTATTAGCTCATCAATTTTTTTCATTAATTAACCATTTAAAACTTAAAAGTACATAATAGGCATCTAAGTTTTGTAATTTGACTTTTTGTTATTGACACCTTTTTCCACTTCACATTTTGTTTCTTTTTCTTGAATTATCTTATTAGTTCTATTGATGTATTTAATCAAATTTTAAATATTTTTATTTGTTAATGATATTATTGATATTAATTTCTGTTCAAAATAATATTTTAGTTAATTTATTTTTCTATAATTTTTGACTTCTCACTTTTTATTGAAATCAATGGTAAAAGAGAGTTTCTTCGAAATAATGGGATAAAAATACATTATCCCTTAACATGTGGACCCCGAAGACAATTGTACCCTATCACCTAATGACACGATTAGGTCTAATTAAGCCTGAAATTTGTCACGAATCATGCATTAAAGCAACAAGTTAAAATCTAGATAGCAGACAACTCACATGAAATTTTGCATAATCTCGTAGTCCTATTGCATTATGAATGATTGGTATGCGATCGATTCCTAAGATAGACTAGATGACTTAACACCAAATCCTCATCAATTCTTCTATTAATTCCGCAACTAATTTACGGATTAACATCTTTCACAAAGACACACTCAAAACTGATGCAGAAGCATTAGGTCTCGCGGAACAACTCTCAAGTCCAACTCAAGTTTTATCGATTAATCCAACCTAATCGTTACTTATATAGGCAAAGAAAAATTTCGGCCACGTGATTCGATGGGTCTAAGGTTGAAGTTGTCAATCCTACAGGGTTAGATGCCGATTCACAAGACTAGTTATCGATTCCAAGGTTGCCAATTGACTACCAAGTAACTATTAGTCAATTCCTTTGGCTGCCCGCTGATCTTTCAAGGTGACTCTTCGACTTCCAAGACTGGTGGACAACTAGTTAATATGCGTCTTTAGTTTCAAGTCCTATTTTTTATGAGTCTTAAGTGCGGTCAGTTTCTAGAGTCATTATTATGTGATTGTCCAAGAGTAATTATGGTTTTCAAGACTTCCAAGTCAATTTTGTTTGCTTAGTAG